ACTTTATGCAGGACGATGCCTTCTCCGCATTCTCTTTTAGTATATGGTGGTGAGGTATGGTAGTGAGTATGATTACATATAAGTAAGATATGTAATCTTACTTATACGTTATTTAAATATGGAAGAATCCCTAATTAGTATATCTGATTCCTTGCCTGCATGCCACCATAGAAATTTGTCCTCCTCGTCCATGTATATTGCGCATACGCCGCACAGGCGTGCAGTCAAATGATCGTATTTTCTGCGAAATACGACCTCCTGGTCCTTTATGCAGAGTGCATTTATTATTTTATTACTAGTCATTTTTATATTGTTTTCACGTGCGCGTGTTATCCTTGCCTATGTATATATATCTTGGGGTTTTGTAACAGTGGTAGCAACTTTGTTGCGCGTGCATATTCTGTATCCTTAAGTCCGAATTTTCCCTATTATTAATTCTTGATCCTTTAATGGCATGTGCGCCCTCTTAACACGGTCCTTATGAACTATTCTTTTTTGGTTTTTCCCCCTAATTTGTATTTCTACATTGTTGTCACCAATGTTCCTGGATATAATGTGGAGCCCGGAGTACTCTTTCTGTAGTTTATTTTTCCGTGGCGGATTAAGCAGAAAGACATTTTCGCCGGTTTGGTAGTGTACAGGACGTACTTTCTTGTCGTAATAAAATTTTTGCCTATGTTTAGCTTGCTGTAAATTGTTTCTGGCTGTGTTTCGAAGATTGTGTAGAGTTGTAATTAGATTGTCGACAAAATCCGGAAAGGTGTTGATGTCTTCATCGATGACGAATTTTGACGGCTGTCTCGCTTTTCTACCAAATATTAACTCATGTGGTGTAAATTTTGTTCCTTCGTGTACGCTGGTGTTATAGGAAAAGAGAGCTTGAGGTAACCACTCGTCCCATTGCTTTTGTTCTGTAATGTAATGCTTGAGATATTCGATTAATACATGGTGACTTCTTTCTAGTGCGCCGTTGGATTGAGGGTGAAAAGACGAAGTTCTGTATGTTTTAATTTGAAAATTTTTTGCTAATTTCATCAAAAAGTCAAAAGTCGCAAATGGCATTCTATTGAACTCAAAATGCCCGTATTGTGTAGAGAATGCTGTTTTGTGTTTGTCGTCTGGATGCATCAGGATCTGGTGAAACCCTGATCTCAAATCAAAAATTGAAAAATACTTTGCGCTTCCTAGCTGATCCAAAATATCCGTTATATTAGGCAGAGGGTAGGCATCGCCAATAGTTTTCTCGTTTAGTTGCCTGAAGTCAATCACTAATCTCCATTTCTTCTGTCCATGAGAATCTTCTTTTTTCGGGACTATCCATAAAGGTGAATTATATGGGGACGTTGAGTGTTTAATTATTTCTTTTTGTAGTAAATCATTAATTTGTACATTTATCTCCTCCCTGTGGCATTGAGGATAACGATATTGTTTCACAAGCTGGTAATTCTTCTCCGGGTAAACTGAACCTGTCTGCATTGTTTTGTATTAAAAGTTTGACGTTATTTGCTTCTTCTTCATTTAAGTGGTCCAAACGCAGGGCCTTGAATAGGTCTTTTGCTCGGTCTGTGCTTTCATGGTGTAGGTTTTCGATTGTTGATTCCTCGTATGGTTGTAATTCCATTTCAGGCATCTGTATTCTTATTGGTTTAGTGGAGACGTTAATGGCACAGATAAAAGCGATTCCGTTTCTATTCGTTACAACTGCATTTCCAAGGTGCAATTCTAGATGTATTTCTAGTTTTGGGACAACTCCTGTTTGAAGGCTGGTATTTAATATTCTGATGGGTACGACGTTGCCCTCTCTAGCTTTTATTTCGATGACGGGTTCTTGAAATGGTATGTTATGATTTTTTGTTAAAAGTGATTTCGAATATCTAATGTCAGCTCCGGCGTTTATAAAGAATTCATTTCCGAGTATTCCATCTTGAGTTATGGTCAAATCTTCTACTATGTGGAGAATGGCTTCTGTGTTGTGAATTCTTATTTTGGTGTATCCTGCTGATTCGTTTCTTTCTGCCTTTCTTGATTTGCCTTTTTCCGGCATTGATCGACGGTGTGTCCAATATTGTTGCAGTGCAAGCAAGTAGGAGGTGGTCTTGCTACTGGTGCATTATTGTTAACCATTGGTGGATTGGTATTGGGTTGGTTAGGGTAGTTGTTCCTAGGCGGTCCTTGGATAGGGCGATTCCAGGATCTTCCTTGTTGGTTGATATTCCGGCAATTTTGTATAGTATGGCCCGACCGTTGACAATGTTGGCAGTACCGTGGTTGCCATTGTATTCTCGCGGTTTGTTGCCCACCCAAAGCCTGACTTGGGCACATGCTAGTATTGTGTCCATATCCAAAACAATTGCTACACTGAATCGAACACGTGTAATTTTCGGTCATTTTTAATCGTAAATGATTTTCCCTAACCTCGGCTTCAGCCCTAATGGTAGCGCTAATTGCGTCATTTAGGAATATAAACTCGCGAATACACAAACGGTTATAAATTTCAGGCCTAAGTCCTGTTAAAAATGCTTTAACCGCGTTGCTTTCGGCTGTCTTGTTATACTGTGGTGCGATATTCGTATGTTCTAACTCATTACAATGTTTCATTTCTGATAAAATAGTTGACACGCGACTACTATAATCGACGACAGCTTCGTTTGGCATTTGTGCGATTTTTGACAAGTCTCCATATAATTGAATTGAAGTATATGTCGGAGCAAAACGGGATTTCAGAACCGTGATTAATTCTTCTATCGTGTTATATTCGCCACTTAAAACTACTCTCGATGCCTGGCCGAACAATTTATTTTTAATTAGTTGTACTAACCCGTATTCGGCATGAGGTGAAATCATACCTTTAGCATTTAAACAATTCTTTGTAAATTGGTATATTGGAATATTATGCCCATCAAACGGAGGTACTATATCCGCGGCGTCGCGTATACTAATTTGAGGAAATGAGCGAGAAGTGCTCTCGAGTTGAGCCTCTACTTCATCTGTCATTGTGAATTAATTACGTTAAAATTAGTATAATTAAATATCAATATATGTATTTATATATATGTATTTATATATTACTACTCCCTTTTTTCCCCCCTTTTATATGTTTTTTCCTTCTCTTTTTCCTTTTCCTATTTTATTAGTAATATTAAAATGAAAGGTTTTAGCCTCCACAGAGAAAAGTTTTCTTGCCACACAGTAGACCAATGATACGTATCTGCAGCTACGATCAGTGATCAATCCTGTTATACAACCAATCCCACCGCTGTCACCAAAAATTTTATTTTTATTAATATAACGTGTAACGTCCCTGGTACTAGAACCTGGTATTTTACAGCGCTTATGAAGCAAAGAGCGGCTTTTGCTTATTAAGCGACTCGTTTTTACTATAACTAATTCTAAAAGAATGTGGGATCGTGGTGGCGTGTGGTTAAAGAGTGAAATCTACAGGTTAATACCTTTCATTAATTAGGTTTATTCAAATAATGATGAGAAAAAGAGTTATAATTAACAATTACTTTAGTAAATATAAAAATGTATATGTGACTGAATTCTATAAGCAAATTGGAGTATAACAGACTTGTTGTTGACGCAAATCGCAGAACGGTAGCTACTTACTTCAATTACGCGGTTTTATAATGATATACGCAACGCAAGAAAATAACGCAATTTAATAATGGATCTAGATCCTGACAAAACAATATTTGGTTAATTACAAAACTCTAAAATTTGTATTAAACGTGGAACAGTTACTCCTTGTTTGACTCTAAACTAATTAGATTCATGGCCCTTTTTGTCAGAACACAAATCGACACCCAAAACCTGATCGCTTAATTGGGGTTAATTGGCGAGCCTGCGTTAGCTGGCTACTAGAACTACCCAACGATGCAAGAATCAAGTGACCGACGTGTGACCAACAGGGTTGCAAATAAAAACGACTCGACCTCCTTATTTGACTCTAAACTAATTAGTTCATGGCCCTTTTTGTCAGAGCACAAATCGACACCCAAAACCTGATCGCTTAATTGGGGAGCCTGCGTTAGCTGGCTACTAAACTACCCAGAGCGAACTCCGAGAATCTGACGGCGAATTAGTAATTCAGGAAAATAAGAAATATGTATGAGTGACTGGCGAGCTCTCGTTGATGTCTTAGTTTTTTTTGAGGCTGAGCATAGCACTCTCCTTATGGAGTTTCAGAGACAAGATCGTTTGAACGGGGAGCCTGCGTTAGCTAGCTGCTAGAATTACCCAACGATCGAGTATCCAAATGGCTGATACCCGCTGTCCAGTCAAAACTAAGAATCTTGTAGGCTCTTACCAGTTAAAACTGCTCCAGTAAGTCGCTTTCTAAGAGGTCCGGCACGTAGTACTTCCAAGATTGTTCTGCGCTCGCAGCCGCTGCTGCACGCCCTTTTATACCCAGAGAATCATGGGTTTTTCCCGCTCAAAAAGTATTATTTTATTACGCTTTATTTAGTGACAAATATATATTAGTTTGATTAATAAAACTACGCTTTGATTTATTATTAATTAGTTTTTTACAAGTTTTCCCGTTAAATCGTATTTTTAATAATTTTTAGATACGCAAATTATAAGTGTTTTAATAGAAGACATAATTAATCGCAAACAATACATAAAGTAATAGTTAATAATATAACGCAATTTATAATGAGTGAATAATTATTAATATATATAATATAAACATTTAAATAATAATTTATAATAACTCTGTTTCGAAGTTTTTTTTTTTTTTTTTTTTTTTTATACACTTCAGGTCCAAAACGGACCTATATGTGTTATCTTTATTGCATACAGAAATAAATTCTTTTGATAGAATAACAAAATATAAAAATGAATACAAAGAAATGCTTATACATAGGAACTTTTGAGACAGTCGGAAGATACACAACTAGCTTAACTTAGCCCTAACTAAATACATACTAATAGTAAACATTGTTCTACATAAACATATTTGCACATGGAACATTACATAAACAAAGTATAACTAACTAGCTAACAATATCTGTACAATCACAGCCTTATATTATTTTTCATAAGAAAAGCATCAATAATTTTTAAAACTGTAATATTTGGTTTGATTAAGAAATTTCTTATCTTATAAGGTAAAGAGAGCTTACAACACTTTAATCTATTCAGCATCTCTTTCCTATGTTGCTGAAACACGGTACAATCCCACAGGACATGATCAATATCTTCTATGAAATGCCCACATTGACACTTCGTATCCTGCACAACATTGATTTTCTTCAATGATATTTTCAAATTAAAATGATTTGACCTGGCTCTATTTATCCAAACCGTTATATGTCTAGAGAGTTTTTTATTATGGAACCACGGCTTAGAATTAATCCCAGAGAAGTAATTGTTAAAATATACGGCTCCTTTCTTTATGGCTTGACCTACCAACTCATTTTGACTCCTTTCCACTATTTTTTGTTTTAATAAAGGAAATATGTCTGTGCATGGGACACTAAAAATATCCAAAACTTCCAAATGAGATGCAGCCTTAGCCTCACTGTCTGCCAGCTCATTACCCGGAATACCCTTATGAGAAGGAATCCACATAAAAGTAATCCCTACATCGGGTGATTCCTCCTTAATTAGTCTGAGTGTGTTTTTAATGTTGATTAAATGAATGTTTGTAAACGGCTTAACCCCTGGCCTTATCAAGGCTTGTACTAGACTGAGTGAATCTGTACAGATAACATAGGATCCCTGTTGATGATTATAGACATAAGATAAGGCCATTTCCAGGGCAATGCATTCAGCAGTGAACACCAAGGACTGTTTAGGAATAGACATTCTAGCAATAAAGTTGTCTGCTGGAATGATACACGCTGCACCTACAGCTGGAAATCCATCCGACTTAGATCCATCAGTGAATATTGTTTTGTGTCCTGAGTATTTATTAAGTATTGTATCCTGAAAAATGTCTATTGTGTTTAAAGAATTCCTTGATTCAGAAATGAACACAGATTCCAAAGAGCATTGCACGAGTTGTGAAGAATATGCCATTGTATTGGTCACCAGATTTGGAAGTCTGTTCAGAAGAGGAATATACTCCTCAATAAGTTTGATGATGTGCACTAAAGGCCTATCTCTATTTCGCTTGGAATTGAAAGAAATACTTTCATTTTTATAAATCACACAAAAATCCGAAAGTATATTAACCATCGGATTTGAACTATTGGTTAATAATTTCAAAATATATTTTGAACCTAGGTATATGGTTCTGTCCTTAAAATTAAGTATCTTAGTTTCTGCCAATATGACATTTGTTGGAGTGGATTTTCTATAACCCATCGCCAGTCTTAAAGCTTCCATCTGAATTCCCTCCAAAACATTCCTAGATCTAACATCAGTTGGGAAATACCACGTACTGCCATATTCCATTTTTGATCTTATTAAAGCCTTATAAACCAATAACAAAGATTGAGGATCACATCCCCACCATGTTCTTCTGAGAAATTTAATGATATTAAGAACCTTGTTACAAAAAATTTGAACTGATTGTATATGCTCCTTGAAATTGAGCTTATGATCAATCCACAATCCCAAATATTTTGCTACTGGCTTGGAATCAATATTATGTTCCCGTAAACTGATTTGTGTATGTACTGGCTTGTATGGAGATCTGCCAAACGATATCAATTACGTCTTTTCCGCAGTGAGCTGTAGACCAATCTTATTCAGGTTAAAATTTATTATGTTGACTGCATTTTGTAGTAGGGATTTTGCTATGTGTAGATGTTTGTTCTGTGCTATAACTGCTATATCATCAGCAAAGAGAGTTATTATCACCCCTTCTGGTATGCTATCTGCTAAATTACTGATGTATAAACTGAAGAGGAGCGGACTTAGAACTCCACCTTGTGGTACCCCCTTATGCACCCTCATGTTTTGATACTGATTTTCTAGAAAATCACTACCTTGGAAGAAAATGTTTCTATCAGATAACCAGGTCTCAATGAAACTAAAAGCATTACCCGTGATATAAAGTTCTCTTAGTTTTTCCAATAAAATGTCTCTTTGTACATTATCAAAGGCACTATTTATGTCCAATAAAGCTACCATGGTATAATTATTTGTACGATGGCCAATATCTGCCATAGTAGTCAGGATCCCTAAATTATCCTGACAGGACCTACCCCTTCTGAATCCTGCTTGCATTTGCGGGATAAAGTTATTATACTCACACCAATATTGAAGTCTATTGTTGATAAGTCTCTCCATTAATTTACATGCACAAGACGAAAGTGTGATAGGCCTAAGTTGCTTGCCATTAGATTTAGGAATGAAGAAAATTGAAGATTTCTTCCAGTCTTGTGGATAAATATGTTCCTTGTATAAGGCATTATAAATTTCCAGAAGTTTTAGCTTGCATCTACTAGATAAGTGCTGGAACATTTTATTGTCAACCTGATCAGGTCCCGGAGCGGAAGAACTCTTACACTGACTAATGGCACGTAACAATTCTGTAAAATCAAATGGATTGTCCAGAAAATGATTAACCGATGATTGTATGTTGTCTGCTGGAGCCGTGGGTACCCATGGCGGACAGATCTTGTTTACTGCCTGTTGCTCCAAACGTTGCACCTGTTCAGGTGGTTTTGAAGCAGTATTAACCCATCTCGATTTAAATTTTCTAACTGTATTCCAGAAATGCTTGATATTTGAATTATGATTTAAATTGCTAACGAAGTTTCTGAACGCCTGTCTTTTTTTATTTTTAAGTAATTTATTAAGTAGTTATTGCTGTTTGTTTTTTATGAGCTATCCAATCTTCCATTTTTAATGAGTGTAACCATTTTTTCAATGTACCCTTCCTTTTCCTAACTTCTCTGTCACAATCGCTGTCCCACCATGGAGTAGAATTGTTTTTTTGAATACTATAAGAGCCATTACCTGAATTTCGCTTTTTCACAGGTGTATTTTTAATAACAGCACTCTTCATGGCCTCAAAAAAAACTGTAGATCCACTGACAGGTCAACAAATTCTTTACTATGAAACAAGTCCAAATAGTTGTCCATGTCTATTTTATATAGTGCCCAATCTGTTCTTGATGTAGATAATCTGTTGGTCTTTCTGTTCTGTACCTGTTTTTGAACTTGTACTGTTGCCTCAATGGGAAAGTGATCCGAGCCAAGAGTATCATCCAATTGATGAGTAGATATAAGATAAGCTATTTCAATATTAGAGATTAAAAGATCAATGTTGGTTTTTGAGTTGCGTCTATTATCAACCCTAGAATGTAAGTCAGTATTATGAACCATTAAATCCAGATCTTTTAATATCATTTCTAGACCTTCTCCTGCTACATTGACTGATAAATTGTTCCACAAGGGGTGATGGGCATTGAAATCACCTGCCAAGATTAAATTGCCTTTGCTGGACAAAGATTGTATAACATTTAACCATTTAATTTTGTCAAACTGCTCCTGAGGAGCCCTGTAACACCCTGCCACAATAAAGTTCTGACTCAGATTAGTTGTTTCAATGGCTAAAAATTCTCCTTCCAGATATTCCACCCCTGGAATATTCAAAGTGACAAATTGGATATCCTTACGAATAGCCAAAGCTACACCACCTCCATTACTTTGGCCTCCACGATCATTCCTTAGGATATTGTGATTCCTAACAAATAAATGTTTCCCGGCCTTCAACCAGGTTTCCGTTAATATTATAATATCATAGTTATTACATAATTTAGAAAATTCTTCTTTTTTATTAAGAATACTACGACAATTCCATAAAAGGATGTTAAGATGGTTCATACTTTCTTTTTTATCTATTTATTTAATTATTAATAAATTTATTTTCGTTTCAAAATACTGTTGAGAAATATTTATTAGATATCAAGATGACAATGTTTTTTTCTTAATGTTTGCTGATCCTTTATATTGTTTAATATTTTGATTTTTAATATTTTTATGACTAGATCCTGTTGAAATACTGATATGATTTTGATTAGTATCTCTCCTACCAGCAGGAGAATCAACTAGCTTAATTTTTGTTACTGAACTAGACTGACTTATCTTCTCGTCTTCCACTTTCTGTTGTGGCTTTGTTTCTTCTACTACTTTAACAGTGTATCATGTTTTATAGGAGATTCCTTAATAAAATTCATCGAATTGCTCAATTTATTAGCTTGACTAGAGAATCTATTGGTCCATTTCCCCGAGTTAACAGAAGGTCTTGCCTGACCCCCTATTTGTTTTAATTTAAATTCTTCACTCATATTAATAGGATCCAGAGCTGGAAAGTTAGCATTATCCAATCTGATTTGTGTTTGAGCAATAGACTGGACTGAAGCATTTCCATTATTCAAATTAGTTATCAACTCTTTAGCCTCCCAAAAGCCTACACTATGATAAGCCATTGTTTCCTGTAAATTCTTATTATATCTATATTCACTGCATTCTTGTGCAAATGTTTTATGAGAACCTTTACAGTGCAGACATTTAACACTTTCTCCATGAGTACATTGATGGTTCTTATCCTTATCCTCTTGCCCACAAACTTGACAAATATGAATACTTCTACATTTGCCTGTAGAATGCCCGTATTTAAAACAATTGTAACACGTCTTGACACCTTCAATATACACATGCACTCTGGTGTTCAAAATGCCATATAGTTTAATCGAATTAGGAAGTGTATTTCCTTCAAACGAAATTAAAATTGTCTCACTAGGAACCCAGCAAACTTTATTATTAACATTATCAAAAGACTTCTTGTTTAATCTTATGGCATTTGTAATCTTAGCAGGAGAAATAGAGTTATGTATCACTTCCTCTATGGTAACCTCAAGTGGAATTTCCCTCAATAACCCCTTCTTTTCGATTCTATAGAATGGGATATAGGCCACCATATCCCATTTGATTAATTGCTCATTTTGTACAAACGCATTTGCTAAATCTTTATTAGAAAATTTCAGCTCAGCAGCTCCTTTGCCTCTAGCCTTCATATCAATCACGCCCACGTTTAAATTGTTCACGACCTTTGCAATATGAATAAGGTTTTGCGCTCTAGATTTCTTAATGGCATTTCTATTAATTCGTATATCTACGAAAGCTGGACCCACGTGTTTACTCGGATACAGATTAATTCTTTTTTCAGGCATAGAAGTCAAATTGATTACTTTTTCTTTTTTGGTACATTCTTGTAAATCGTACGAACTTTTCCTTTTTAACGCGACAGTTGCATCAACCAAATTCGCCTTCACAGAATCTAATCTAGGACCCATCTTACAAGGCAAAGATTTGCCCTCCGCCATGATGGCGTCCTCTTCGGTTTCCGTACCCGAAGGGCCCGGTACCGAAATATCCCGCGTAAGATTAAACCACTCCACTTTTCATTTATGCAAAACAAGCAACGAAAACCCACACCCTCTTACAAACTAATAAAAAAGATAACGTCTTCACTTAAACTCAGAAAAAATACAAAAAACGATACATAAATCAACGACTAAGCTCACACCCAAGCGCACCGTCTTTTTTTCCTGTTTCGAAGTATATCTTTCTAACTAACGCGTGCGCCATCGATCGGTGATCTACTCTAAACAATGTTGCACGCGTGAGCTACCCCATCCCATTACCATGCGAATTTTTATGGCGCGGTCGGTAATACAATAGAAAAAGATATTAGAATTAAGATGCTTCTCTTTTTATCGACTGGATTCAATATGATGTACCCGGGAACATTACAATAGGCAAAGCTTGTATAGCTATTTTTTTTCTATACAGTGAGATTCCTCCCGGGGTGAAAGAAAATGCGTCCTCGCATTTTGATTTTGAAAAAAGAATTACAATTCTTGAAGGAGCACCGCGTTCATAGCAATTACGATTATATATATTACATTCGTAAGAGATAATTAACAATTATATGGTACGATTTGTAAACATTGCGCAAATATTCTGAGATTATCCTTATGGTATCCTTAGTTTTAGCTTACTCGAATACTACGTTTCTACCTGCGTCTATTAGACCTTGCTCGAATTCTAACGATAATTCTAATACGCTCTCTAACTTATTTACTAAATTGGGGTTATTTTTCCA